GGCGGCAGTAAATTTTTATCCAAATCGACTTCCAAGCAGATTACTATAAGAATCTGAAGGATCGAAGAGGAATTTTCCAAATCGATATCCAAGAAGGATTACCTCGGGTAGGGTCCAAACAAGGATCGAAGAGGAATAAGAGTTGAACAAGGTAGAACATTTTTACAGGTTGAGCACTGAAAAGTGCTGTTTAAATTTGTTGTAGCTTTAGGTAGTAGTAACACTTCCTTCAGCAAAAAGCAAATAGATCCGCACGGCAAGAGAGCACGATGCGGACTGTGATGCCTCTTCCTCCTTCATTACGTGGCAAGGTGACTCTCTAGACGGCCGACTTTGGGTGATGCATGCGATGCTTAGGGAACGCCACTCGTACTACTCGTTCTATCGCCTCCAAGTCTGTGTTGGTCCACTTGATCACTCCAAAGCTGTAGATCAACAGGGGCACGGCAAACCTGTTTATCGCCTTTATCTTGTTGCCGGTCGACAGGAACGACCTCAGAACACGATTGATTCGATACAAGAACTTTTCCTGCAGCTCCCTCTTGATCGCTGTATGGCGAATCCCTTTCAGTTGCAGGAACCCCAGGTACTTGTAGGTTTCGCCTTCAACCATATTCCGAATCTCCTCCTGTTCGTTGATGCGAAAACTGCCAGTATCCACTACTTGACCCCGACGGATGTTGACTTTTCGACATTTATCGACTCCAAACTCCATCCGGATGTCATTACTGAATACCGTTACAAGCTGTAAGAGACGGTGAAGCTTCTGTGTGTGGGTTACATTTGTGCTTCTTCCTCCACTTTTCAAATGGTAGCCATAGTTGCATTGATTGAGTGCTCTGCTGAGGGGGTTCATTGCAAGGCAGAACCATAGTGGACTAAAGGTATCGCCTTGGAAAATCCCTCTTCTTATGCTGAGAGTTCTGGACCGTAACACCATTGCTCTGTCAGTAACGTGGAGAGCTATGCTCCACATTCCCATTGCGTGCTGCATAAGCCTGATGACTCCATCGTCCACCTTGTACAACAGCAGTACCTTGAGAAGGTACGAATGCGGTACTGAGTCGAACGCCTTCTTGTAGTCGATGTACGCCATGCTCAGGTTTCTCTTTTTCTGGCTCGCCTAACGGACAATAACTGCATCGATGATGACCTGATCTTTGCAGCCTTGAGTGTTTTGCCGGCAGCCCTTCTGTTCGTCGGCCATAACGTTGTTTACATTGCAATGGCTCTGTATCTTCCGATTTATTACTGATGAGAGCACTTTGTACAGGGTCGAGAGACATGATATTGGCCTGTAATTTGCTGGATTAACCGTGTTTTAGTCCTTGGGCAGAAGATATGTCACCCCTCTGGTAATGAATTCTGGTAGCTGTTGCGGGTCTTCTAGTACCATATTGAAGCATTCCGCCATCCGCCCATGGATTGAGATGAACTTTTTATACCAGAAATTATGCACAAAATCTGGTCCTGGTGCAGCCAAATTCCTGGTATAACGGGTAGCCTCCCGAATATCCTGAGCGGTTACAACGACCGTGGGCATACTTACAATTCCATTACTCCTATCCTCTTCCTCTGCTAGCCACATCCCATCATTGTTATGTTGAGCAGGATTCTCCCACAGATCGGCCCAAAACTGTGTTACATCGCCAATCTCCGGGATTCCTTCGCTATAATCGGTTTTGTTGTTACGGATGTGGTTGTAGAACTCCCTTTCGTTAGTGTTGAACATTCGATTTTCCTTCTACCACTTCGAACTTTCTCCATAACGTCGCATCCGTTTAGCAAGAGCACTCAACCGCTGTACATGGGTGTCGAGCACCTCAGTAATATCGGCTTTAGTGAGGTCATGGAGCTCTGCGGGCTTGACAATTTCAGCAACGTGCCGAACTAGCCTCGATGATCGGTTTCCCCTCTTGTACTGTGTCAACCGACCTATTTTAGTCCGAAGTGTGACGATTTGGCCCTCGAAGCGTTTTTGTGCGTTGGGACGTGTACGACTTTCGCCGTCTCCTTGCGGTTACGTCAGCAATCTCAATGTTTGTACCACTGCCATAGCTGCACAGTACACTATGAACTGCAGGTCCTCAAGGTTCTCAACGGCTTCCAAGTGCTGTGGCAAAATATCCTCGTTGAGAATGCTTACTGCACTCGTTAGTCGGTAGGTATACTGCAGTTTTGGTATCCTGTGCCGGAACATGGGGTCCGTCCCTTGGAACTGCGTAGCCGCTGCGTTCCGTAGTTGCTGTCGCTGCTCATCCCGTAGTTGCTGTCGTTGCTGGTCTACTACTTGTCCAGGAGCGGTTGGCTCCTGCGTTGACGTGTTTACCACGTGTCTCACTCGCAAGTGATGCATTCAGCCCAACAGAACTCCTTCTCGACGTATCACTCGATCCATTCCCTTCCCTCCATAGTTCCCTCCGCACTTCCAGCTGGATGCACTCTACCGTGGCCGGTGCGAGCAAGTTGTGTGACATGATTGCTCGCTGCCTAGTATACAACTTGTTCCGGTCAAGCTGGTTGGCAAATCGCTCATTGAACATATCCAGCATCCTTGATCTGCCGGACATATTCGTCTCCAACCTCGTGAACACGTAGTAGCAGCGCATCACGTACTGGTTCATCTCCCTCGTCCACATGATCCGCTGCCTTTGGTGGCCGGCTAAAGTGAGCGATTGACGCCGGGCAACCACAGCATTATTAGCAGGTGCAGCATTGCCTTGGTGTTGTCTATTGCTGCCTGTTCGGTCTCGCGTGTGAGTTACGGGCTAAGCCCGTTGACTGAAGGGCCGCTCTTGCATCTCATCTTCCTCCAGCCGCTGGCCGCTCGCTCTCCAGCATGGTCTTGCTTTGTAGCTGCGCCTTTACCGACTGAGCTAAGCATAAACTTTGTGTTATTTTTTTTTTAATTTCATGCAGTTTTGGAGTTCTTGGAGTAATAAAAAATCATAACGCGCTAGCCAAAGCCTTCAGGACTTTGAAAAGTTTTAGAGATTTTGTAGCTTGATTATTTTTTAGATTGTGAGACTTCCAAAAACATTTAGAAATTATAGATTTAAGAAAAAAAACTCAAGAATCTGCAATTAGGAGAAATACTCAAAACGTCTGATTTCGAAAAACTTCTATGATCCTCGATTTGAACAAGAAATTGAGTTTCGGGGTACCGATTAATATTTAATGACTAAAAATAATTCTTTAAATTTTGGTAATTGTAAGCATTGTCTAGAGAATTATGTTGACAATCCTTTGGTAAGAACACAAAACGAATTACAAAGAAATTATGAGAAGAAATCCTTGGCAATTTCGGAGCTAATTCCAAGGAAATTGTGTCTAAAATTTTAAGGTAAATTTGTGGGCAATTCGAGGGGGGCGTCCCATCTAAATTTCAATTGTAGATGCTCGAAAAATCTCACACTAGCAAACCAATCTAGTAAAAATCTTCTTTCATTTCTCGCATCTACTTGCATCGCGCATCATCTTTTTGCAGGAAATCTTCAGAATCGTCATAAATCTTCTTTCTATCTACTCAGCGTGTACGCAGCTAACCACACTAAAACAAAATCGTTCCCGCATCTTGGATAGAGTTGTCCCCCTCGGGGCAATTGTGAGGGGAATTCTAAGGGATTTATGAGGAACATCCCTAGAAATGTCTGACTTGAATTCCAAGCTGAGCTCCAAGTGAATTACGAGGAAAACTTCAAAAGTAGTTATGACTGATAATCCAATGTGATTCTTAGATAGAGTCTATAAGGGATTTTGAGGAAAATTCCAATAATCCAATAATTTTCTAAATTTGTGTTATGTTAAGCTTTGTCTAGTGAATTATGATGAGAATTCTTTGGTAAGAACACAAAACGAATTCCAAAGGAATTTTGAGAAGAAATCCTTGGTAATTTCTGAGCGAACTTCTTGGAAATTGTGTATTAAATTCCAAGGTGAATTTGTGGGTCATTGTGAGGAAAATTCCTAGGTAATTCAGATATGAATTCTAAAGGATTTATGAGGAACGTTCCTAGAGAGGTCTGACTAGAAGTTCAAGGTGAGTTCACGTGAATTGCGAGGAGAACATCAAAGGTAGTTAGGGGAAATGGCCCTAATGTTGGCCTATGGATCTAAGATTGGGCTCATCGCTAAGAATCTGCTATTTGTCAATTTTATCTAGATGAACGCGTCATTGGGACGGTACTAATGGATATTTTTGGTCACTATTTAAAATTTAGTCGATTGCTGGGCCCAAATTAGGGGCATTTAGGCCGACATTACATCCATTTTTCCTATTAGTTGTACTCCAATGCGATTCTGTATAGAATTCATAAGGGAGTTTGAGGCGAATTCCAAACAAATTTTAAGCAGAATTTCAATGGAACGCTGAGGACAATAACAAAAGAATACTGAGGCGAATTTCAAGGGAATCGAATGTTGATAATAGTTTCAAATGAATTCTAAGGATAGTTCCATGGAAATTAAAAGAAAATGCAGATGAGAATTTCTAGTAGTTTTTAAACTTATTTCCAAGCGGATTTTCAAGAGAATTTTGAGGAGGATTACAAAATAATTCTGAGATGAGTTTAAAGGGAATTCTGAGAAGAATTTCAGAATAATTTTAAACAGTATATCAAAAGAGAATTTTTCAGGAGAATTTAAAAAGAATTTTGGAGAGAAATTCATGCGAGTTCTTGAGAGAACTAGTAATAATTTGATGAGAACTGTGAACGAATTCCAATACATTTCGGTAGATAATTTTTAGAGTGTTATACATAAAAGTAAGAGAAATCCCAACTAAAGAACGTCTGAAACGAACTTTATAAATTTGGAGCAAACATTTTGCTCCAATTTTCATTGGTCAGTAAGCAGGGAGTAAGTAATCCGTTCCATACACACACTTAATCATAATTCCCTAACATTAAGCACTAACAGCACTTGGTTCTCGGATATTTTTGTTTAAAAATAGTAATAAATACCCATTCAATCTTATTAATGGATTCACCTTCATTTCGCAGAGATTCCGAGTACACCGAACTACCCGGAGACAATCAAGCCGGGTATGACCCGGGCACTAGTCATCTACCGACCACACCCGATCCTGTTACAGTGGATCCGGAGCCAATCATCGTATTGTAATTTTAGTTGGCCAATAAACTTAATCTAGTAGTGAAAATAATGAAACTGTAAAAGCACTCCTCTGTTAAGTAGTACACACACAATAAGTCTGATATTTGAAGTATTGTTGCTCATCTGTAACTGCATCAATTTTGCATTCCTGTCTGTGTAAGTGTGAATTATTTTGATCAAACATTAAATAATTGTAAATGTGAAAAAAATTCCGTTAGTTCTCGTTTGATTTTTATTCGAAGTCCTTCTTTCTAGTGTCCAACACGGAAATAAAAACAAACTTGAATTAAGTTCTTTTCGTCTACATCCCATCTTCCGTTCAGTAAGGCAATTTTAAGTAAACAGCTTAAAGTAATTTGCAAATAACCGCGGCAAACAAATTACTTGCTCACCAAGTTTATTCGACCCAACATTAAGTTCAATTAGGTTCTTTAATTTTGAAAAATATGTCGGTTTTTATACATGATCTGAAAAGGCGTCGTTTTCTGAGCACAACGATATTTTTTTCGATCCCATTTATTTCCATCTCAATTTTTAAATCAAGATTTAAAGCAAAATAATCACTTCACTGTTTGACACAAAACTAACAAACTGACAGCTCGTTCCCATACGAAGTACCATCGAGGGGTGCTAAGATGGTGATTTTAGCTAATGTAATCACACTTATTTAAAATAGTTCCAGTGCTCCAAAATTGATGAAATTTTGGATTTCGATTCCATTTGTAATGCAGATTACGAAAATGCAATTGCCTCAATACCCCTAAAGAACCCAATTGGGTTGTTTGGGGATATTGAGGTAATTACATATTCGTAAAATGCATTAAAAATGGAACCGAAATCCAAAATTTCATCAATTTGATGCACTGGAACTATTTTAAATAAGTGTGATTACATTAGAAAATATCACCATTTTAGTGCCCCTCGCTGATGTAGTAGATAGAGTTAGTGTGGAGTAGAAATTTGTAGAATCAAGTGAGCGTGAAGCGTGATAGACCGTATGTAAACGGGATCTCATTGGTTCGGAAATTTTGATACAGTTAGAGGTATAAATATAAGGTACCTACCTAAGCAAAGGACCACCAGCTGAAGGAATAGCAGCAGTGGCGGACCAACAGAGGGAGCAGCAGATACGTGGAACCGTGACCGCAGCTGGAAACCTCGGTCCAGTCACGACAATGGCGCAACTCGGTAAGTGAGAATCAGATAAAGCTTTTTTGCGAGGCTGCTACTGGCGCTCAATCAGAGGGAGATGAAATTCCAACGATCTTCAATTAATGAGAGTAGGAGAGGGGAGGAATGTAGAAGATAGATTTAGTGTGGAAATGAAATGAGTAGAATCAAGTGAGCGTGAAGCGTGATAGCAACAATCAATACAAAACTAACGATTTTAAATTGGCTCACTACTTGACTAGCCTATTGGTCCCAAGCAAACGATTAAAGTACCCCATTCTAGTCGAAATTCTACTACTGCACAATGTTTGTTTTGATTCGCTATGAAAGTTTGACAGATAAAATGAGGGGTTAGTGGATTTTCCTATGTTTCGAGGGGTGAATCGATTAGCTTGGGACCGAAGAGAGTACCAGAGCTGAGCCAAAAAGTTGAGCAAGTTTCTTCAGGACCTTCTCAGAGTTACCTCTATGGTGATAGACCGTATGTAAATGGCATCTCATTGGTTCAGCTCTAAGAGGAAGAGGTGACAATTTACTTCTTACTCATTAATTTCTATCTCTATCTCTATCTTTATCTATGTCTATCTCTATCTTACGCACATCAAATCAGCCAACCAATGCCCCCCTCGGTAGAGATGACATTTTGCGCGCTTTTTCTGCTGTCATGTTTCTTTCAAAACTCGTTTGAAACGATCGGTGATGATCCTCTGCAGAAGTTAATGCTGCTATCGGCATGATATAACCGATTACAAATATTTTACTGTTCGGTTCGTTAATCGATTAATCGATTATTCGAATGAAAATCGGCCATCACTAGATGAATGTGAAACGCCATTTCAAATATAAGGACCGTACATAAATAATGATACAATTTTAAAGGGACCGGATCTAATCACAAATTACGTCCCCACGGTAACTGAAATAAACACGAGTGTTCACCGGTTGCTTTGATTGTACCCAATTGACTCAAATTTGAGATTACCTCAAATACTCACTAGTGGTTTATTGGTTTATTAGTCATGAGTCATGGGTCAGTCTAATCTCTCGTTTCTTTTAGTGCACGTGAGACTCAAAACTTAAAATTACCCAACGTTATGTTGAGAACTCAATCTCTGGGCAATTTTGTTTCTGTGATCCATGTTCATAGAAACCGCCATATTAAAACATTGGTTTCCCCCTAGCGGTGACTAGTAGAACTTGCTTGACAGTACGGTAACTGTTCACATCTCGCTCGCGTTCCTGTCATAATAAAAATAAAAATAAAACAAAACTAATGCCAGGCGCACCCGTCGCATGAATGTTTGTGAGAACGAGTTCAATCGATCGATTTTATGAAGCTTACACCTACCAGCGCACCTGTTTTACCTTAACTCTCTTGAAAAGAGATTAAATTTTCTCTCTTCACACACTTTTTGCTAGTGTGCGTGTGCCGTCTTGAATAAAAAAAATCTCTCGCTCTCTCTCTCTCTCATCTTCATTCGGAGTTTGCGACGTACGTAGTCCAACGCGCTTCGACTGCTACCACAGAGCAGAGCAGTCAATCAGTCAGTCAGTCTGTAGATGAGAACCGTTCGTGACCGTTGGCGATTGATTCCACGATTTGTCAGTGCTGTTCCGTGTGGTTCATTCTTTCAATTTTCCTGCTGCCGTGCAGTGAGAAGAATTTTCCCCGGTGTAAAAAGCGTTCGTCGTTGCTAGTTTCGTAAAAGTACGCAGTGATTCGATGTAAAAATCGGATGAAATCGTCCCCCGTTATTGAAGAAAGAAAAAAAAAAGTGAGTGTGCAGGGTTGAAGGACGAAGCAATCTCGGATTCTTCTTAGGCTGGATGCGAAGGGAGTTCGCTTCGATAAGTGCTAAAGAGGCTGTACCACCTCTCAAGCCTCATTCGGCGCTCCCTCCCTTCGGTTCGCAGAGCAGTGTAATACCAGCACAGCAGAGTGCTGCGCGCTGTATGGTGCTCTCTCTTGCTCTCTTCCTGTTCGACGAAGTGTGACGTCTATCCATTCACCTGTGTGTGTGTCTAAAAGTTTAGTGGTGGTGACGTGCAGTGTTGGTAATTCTTGTGTTTGGTGAATGATTGTCGTTCAGCATCCAAAACTCGGGTTGGTGCTACATTCGGCGACAAGTGGTAGTCCTCACTTCGTGAATGCACCATGAACGGTTCCGATAAATGTACCGTTGGGTGACGATTTCCGATGCATGATAAATTGGTTTGAGTGTTTTTAGTTCATATTCACGATGACGCATTGTGTAGTTTTTTACTTGTCTTCCTGTGATTGTGTTTTAGAGAACATTCAGACTGTTCAGAATTTAGTGAACGTGATTTGAATAAACAAATAACGGATTGACTGATAGTCAGTTTTGGTACTGAAAACAAAGCCACTAGAAGTCAAACAGAAACCGACAATCACTGCCTTCAAACGTGCTCTTAGAAGATCAATGCAAAATTAACATGCACACAATCTAAATTAGCTGTCTCTCGATTTGTATTTTTTTTTCTGTTGCTTAGTTTTTTTTTCTGCTTAGATTTACTGCTTAATTTGTTAACTTTTATTTGGATCCTACTGTAATTTACATTATTTTTCATTGACCTAATACACAGTTTATACTCACAGGCTATCGTAACCAATAAAACAACCAATTACGAATAACGAAACCTTAAATTCTGGGAATTCATTGCTTAGCAAGTTTCTGAGCTTTTTTTCCAAATTTGTGATCAAAATTTTACCACCTTTAAGCGCTGGAATATGCTTTTAAAATTTTTTCAAAGGGGTTTGGAACTCGAGTCTAATTTCGAAACATAATTTTCAAAAGTGTTGTTCCTCAGAGCAGAGAATCACTTTTTAATTTATTTTCGCAAATGTCGTAGAGATAATTTTCATGGCAGGATCGAGTGTTCTTTGATTTCGCCGCCTTCGGACATTTTTCAGACGGATCAAGAGCTGAAATCGTCGTCTATTGTAATTTAATCGAATTTAACCTCGCATTTTGCTACTGAGACAGCTCTTGCTTTAACTATAGAAGTAGTCAGAGTGCATTATTAGTATCATCGTTGGTTTGAAAAGGAATATTTGGATCGAAGCTATATTCCAAAAATGCTCGATATTGCTCCCCACCAGCTCTATGGTAATTGAAAGTAGAGCTGTTATGATTAGAAATTATTTCTTGGGATATTTTAAAAGTTACTGGAAGGTGATCAGAACCGAAGTCAGCATGGGTAATCTATTGGCTACAAAGCTGACATGAATCAGTTCAGACTAAAAGTTAAGTGGATTTCTTGCTGGAGAAAGCATGTTGGGCTGTTTGGATATTGAATAGTTCAAATAATATATTTCCATTGGAGCTACTTTGAGCATTATTCCATGAGCGGTGTTTTACATTTAAATAACCAATAATGAAGAATTTAGACCTATGACGGGTAAATTTCTGAATGTTACCCTTGTAAAAATTCTTTTGCTGGCCTACGCATTGGAATGGCAAATAGGCAGCTATAAACGAAAGTTGTCCACATTTTGTCTCGACAGAAACTCGCGAAGTTTCAAAAACTTTGGTTTCAAATGAAGAATTTGAATGTTTTCAGGGTTTAGTTTGAATAATGAATGTTTGAAAATTTCAAAATATTACTTTGGGGTGAAATCGAACAAGAGTTTTTTTTTATTTGTTTGCATGACTTGTTCCAATAGCTATTGCAGCTATTTTATTATCACTTGGACTTACAGTATGTCTGCAGAATGTGAGTTGTTGTGATTATAGCTCATAGGGTTAAAAACCCCATTTCCGGCCTATTAAGCATAACACGCACTTAGTCTTTCTTAATCTAGATCAGTTTAGCACCAAACGGAATGTTATTATTACTGATGGCTTCCAAATTTATTTGCCTTTCCGTACGTACCATAAGATTTGAAAACGAGAAACCAGTCGTTGAGATATTGTCAAAAGTCCAACACTGCTTCTTGACGCCAAACTCTGCCTACGGATTTTAAACTCGGCCTAACGCATTGAAACGCCAATGAATTCACTTCGGCCTATCGTATGAAGATAAAAATTGATTCGGTCGGAGCGCTTTTTTTGTTTTTGGGAATAATGGGTGCAAACTTTCATACCACGCGTTCTCATTGAATTCGTTCGGTAGCTTATTAACTAAAGTATCGTACCAAACCCATAATTGACTTGTTAACTCTGAAATCATGGATTTATTTGAAGTTTTCTGCTCGATAGGCCCAAAATGGGCGATTAGGCCGAAGTAGTTCTCTAGCCTACATATCATTTATATGTTATAAAAATATGTTTATTACCAACCATATATGGGGGAACAAAAAAGAAGCTCAGATTAATGTAGAATTATCAATGATTTAAAACAAACTGTTGCGCCCAACGCTTTTAAGGTGTAATGAAGTTGGTATCAGGTTGCCGAACCCTGTTAGTTGACAGATGCGAGTAGCGCTTGCACCAACTTGCACCAAGACTACCCAAATTTGTTGACAAGTTGACAAATCAACAACATTGACATGAATCCGATCAACGTTTTTCATTTGTCTACTTGTCACTCCCAACGCAGTTTACCCATTTTTGGTAGGTTCAGTTTTGACCGATCTGGGTGGATTGCACCCAAATTTGAGTAGTTTTGAAATAGCGTGTGGATCATAGCACAACCTTTTTAGTGTAGTTAGTCGCAGTTTGATCGTTTCGTTGCATGAAATAAAAGCGTTGTATGGAAATGTTTCTCGGTTAGTGGAAGAAATCGAAAATTCGGTTAGTTTTGAAACGTGCGAGGATCCGGAAAAACATTAAGACACAACGTAGGGCCTAGTCACCGCTCGACGGTACACAAACTTATTGAGAAATATTGGTAAAACTTGGCTTAATAATAATTGCAAATAATCAACAGTTTGATCATTTTAACTGCTTCTTATGCAGGGTGTCTACTCATTTTGCTAAATAAAATTTCCACAGTTTTCAAGGTTTTTTTTTTCAGATTGTCTCGGATGACTTCTATGTTTATAAGTGAACTTATTTCTAATGGTTAATTTTTGGTAAAACATCAACTTTATTTCCACAAGCGATTTCAAGACATAACAATCTGTTTTAAGAGATCAGTTTTACAATCAGAACCATTGAAAGTTGAAGTTTAACATTTACTTAAGCCAAAGATCTGATAATATATCCAATAAAGCCTAAAAGTTTCGAATTTCAAGTCCAAGATTTAGAAACCAAAAGTGCCAAAATCCCAGAATTAGAAGAATGAAGATGTAGCCATTTGATTACTTTCAAGCTTGCAACCTTAAAGTTCAGCATTTCAAATATTTTTGCTTGTTTTGGAATTTGAAAACTTCTCACGTTCCCTAATATTGTCTCTAATTTCATATTATACTAAGCATCTTTAAAAATCTAAGCCTCATTATTTAATTTTTTTCCAAACCTTGAACCGTGATCCTTTTTTGTGTGTTCATGATCTCTATTTTTTTGTGGAAAATATACGCTTAAAAATGGTCTGTAGAACACTCTTTGAATTCTCTCTGCAGAGCTCTTCATATTATCAATATGATATTTCAGATAATCATTTGCAAGATAATTTTAATTTCAACTGAAAATGCATAAATATTTTAAAATAATGCCAAGAACATAAATAACTGAAGATGAAACATTTTTTTTTCTCAAATGGTACAAACGATAGTTCCTTATAGCTCAGTCGGTAAAGGCGCATTTACGAAACAAGTCCATGCTGGAGGCGGCTGGGTTAGATTCCCATCTGGTCTATTAATTTTTCAGGTTGGACAATTTCTCGACTTCCTTGTGAACGACCCAAATTTGAGTTTAGTTCACTCATAATCGCCAAAAGCGCAGGAACTCAGCGATGAGTAAATTTGCCTCATGTTTTCCTGTGGAAAACCTCAAAATCTGCCGGAAAATGAGGATAATTTTACTCGGTCTAGTAGTACTAATAGAGTAAGTGAATCCTATCTTTACTTTTCTCATATTCGGGTATTTTTTCCTGGACAAACCTGGAAAAACATGAAGGAAATTTACTCATCGCTGAGTTTTCCTGCCTTTATGTGATTTATGAGTTAACTACACTTAAATTTAGGGCTATGGGTATGGTACAGGCATAGAAAGCTCTCATTTAAAATGTGAAAGTGTTTCAAAGAACCACAGACGAACAGAAGTAACTCTTCTATCTGGATCATCGATCACACATTTAACGATTGATTTGAAAATTATCATTTCCGCGAACTACTTGTTGCAGCGCAGGCATGGGATCACTTTGACCACAGACAAACAGACATAACACATTGAATATTTCTCACTGTAAAACATCGTCGCTAGAACATTACCGCCATCTGTTGAGTACACTGTGGTGGGTAGTACGCTGAACAGATGGCGATAGTGTGCAAACGTCAAACGCAAGGTAATTGACTATGCGCGCCACAGGTGGCGGTACTACCAACTATGATACTTTTAAATTGACCATTAAATGCTTGTTCGATGAACAACTTGCGAGTGTTATGTCTGTTTGTCTGTGCTTTGACGTTTCTATATATTCTGTTGTAATATTCTTTGCGACTTAACGAGCTTGTTTTTCGCGAGAAGCCCGACAGATGTCATGTTTTAAAGAAAAAGTTTTTTTCGGAGTTCGTTGGAAATGCTATACTAATATCAACATAAAGCTTTAGTGTCATAATTTATAAACTAAAAAAAAAGTTCTAAAGAGGATATGTTGATAATTCCGTTTCTTTAGAACTTTCACTAGTTGATAAATCATCACACTAAAGCTT